CTCTAACCACTGAGCCAAACCGGCCAGGGCTAGATAAGCACTTCTTAATGTCAAAGTAGCCCTTGCGTTTTATATTTTGAGTCATGGAATTATTTTCCTCATCTGTAAAATGGTATTTCAGGGGTTTCGCTGAGAATTCAATGAGATAATCAACTTTAAATGCTTATTGCAATGTCTGGCATATAGTTAGAGCTCAATAAATGTTAGCTGTTATTATTATAAGTTCTCTCCTACCAAACTGTGAAGCCCTTAAGGGCAGAGATTTTACCATTCTTTGTATAACCAAAATTTGCAGATTGCCTTATAAAGAGTAAGTACCAGGTGAGTGGGTGGATGGGTGAGTGAATGGAAGGAAGGAAGGAAGGAAGGAAGGAAGGAAGGAAGGAAGGAAGGAAGGAAGGAAGGAAAGAAAGAAAGAAAGAAAGAAAGAAAGAAAGAAAGAAAGAAAGAAAGAAAGAAAGAAAGAAAGAAAGAAAGAAAGAAAGATTAATGGATAAATGGATGGATAAATAGATAAAGGCATGGATGAATTTAAGAATGGATCTTCTAGAAATAATGACTAGGAAACTCTTCATGGGGAAGATGGAGACAAAGAACCCATTAAAAAATGGGCAGAGGACCCAAATAGACACCTCTCCAAACAGGACATACAAATGACCAGGAGACATATGAAAAAATGCTCAAAATCTCTAATCATCAGAGAGATGCAAATTAAAACAACTATGAGGTATCACCTCACACCTGTCAGAATGGTCGCCATCAACAAATCATCAAACAACAAGTGTTGGCGAGGGTGTGGAGAAAAGGGGACTCTAGTACACTGCTGGTGGGAATGCAGACTGGTGCAGCCACTATGGAAAACAATATGGTGCTTCCTCAAAAAATTAAAAATGGAACTGCCATTTGACCCAGTGATCTCAATTCTTTGAATATATCCTAAGAACCCTGAAACACCAATCAGGAAAAATATATGCACCGCTATGTTCATAACAGCACTATTTACAATAGCTAAGATCTGGAAACAGCCCAAGTAGATGAGTGGATTCAAAAGAGGTGGTACATTTACACAATGGAATACTATGCAGCTGTAAGAAAGAGAGATCTCAAACCCTTTGAGATGACATGGAGGGACATGGAGTGTATTATGCTAAGAGAAAGAGGAAGTCAGAGAAAGACAAGTACCATATGATTTCACTTATTTGTGGAACATCATGAACAAAATAAGCTGTCAACCAAGAGAGATCCAGAGTCATGGAAGTAGGGAACAGACTGACAAACCTCAGAGGGATGGGGGTGGGAGGGGTGGGAAGAGATAAACCAAAGAACTTATATGCATATATGCACAACCAATCAACATGAACATTAAGCTGGGGAAGGCAGGACAGGGGTGGGAGCAGGAAGAAGGGGGTCGATGGGGGAAAAGGGAGAACATCTGTAATACTTTCAACAATGAAAAGAATGGTAAAAAGAGAGAGAGAGAGAGAAGATGGGAATGAAGCTAAACTATTAAAGATAAATCATATGTCAATTTCATGGCTTAATACTTATATAATATTTTCCTTCTTCTTTTTCTTATCTCTATACATGAATTATAGGACACCAACCTTTTGGGAAAGATACCAATGAAAAGGTACAACTGACCGGCATAATGCCATGCACCCAGTAGCTACTCAAAAGATGTACTATTTCATTCAAAAATATTAGTATTTTACCTTTTTCTCATTGGGAAAATATTTGAATGTGACTTAAAACATTAAATCCATAATATTCTTTAAGATAAAATCATATCAAAGCAAGTGGCCAGAAAGGCGAGAGAAGAGCTGGGGTTTTTATTCTGTCCTTGGGTTGCCCGGGTTCCAGAGGTCAGTGTGATTGCTGCTGTGACTTCACTTCGAGTAGAATAATCGGGCCGGTAGAATTTGAAACGTATATTTTAATTGGCTCCGGTCTGTGGCAAGCTCAAAGAAGAGAGCGAGTGAGAAAGGGAATATAATAGGAATAGAAAAGAAGGATGTGAGGAAGAGAAAGGCCAGACTATAAATCAAGGGCCAGCAAGCAGAGGACATGAAAAAGAGCCTGGCAGAATTAACATAATCAGGAACTAAGAGGAAACACCAAGAGTTCAGAAAAGGTAAAGAGGATTCCATTCATACTCATTTCAGAAGGCAGCAGAGGGTAGACAACATTTGTAAGGGAAAGAACAGGAGGGAGTAAAAATAAAGCAAACAGCTGTACATTCCTCCCTCAAACCCCAGCAGTCACCGCAGACACAAGCACACGGCCTTGCCCATGGAGAGAGCTTCCAGAGGCACAAGCACAGGCTGACCAGCCTTCGGGGAGGGAGCTGTACCAGAGAGCTTCAGAGGTGAGCTGGCCCTCCTGCCCTCCTGAGTCCAGCACATCTCCAACATGCTGAGGCCATTGTGTGTCTAAAAATAAGTGGCACCCACCTGGCCGGTGTGGCTCCCTAGTTGAACGTCGACCCATGCACCAAGAGGTCGCTGGTTCGATTCCCAGTCAAGGCACATGCCCAGGTTGTGGGCCCAGACCCCAGTGGAGGGCATGCAGGAGGCGGCCAATCGGTGTTCTCTCTCATTGATATTTCTATCTCTATCTTCCTCTCCCTTCCTCTCTCTTTAAAATTAATAAAGAAAAACTATTAAAAAAATAAAAATGAAGCCCTGGCCGGTTTGGCTCAGCGGTTAGAGCGGCGGCCCATGGACCAGAGAGACCCGGGCTCGGTTCCGGCTAAGGGCATGTACCTTGGTTGCAGTTTGTCCCTGGCCCCAATTGGGGTTGTGTGGGTGGCAGCCACTTGATGTGTCTCTCTTGCATCAATGTTTCTCTCTCTCTTTTCCTCCCTCCCTCCCGCTCTATCTGAAGATAAATGCAAAAAAAAAAAAAAAAAGTCCTCGGGTAAGGATAATAAAAGTAAAAATGAAAATAAGTGGCAGACTACACCGAGTGATTTTGAGGGTTCATACTCTGTACCCCCCCCAAAATAATTCCCTAACCTGCTGACTGATACCTGCATTTCTGCAATTACAGATTCAATTATGTCATAGTTTCTTATTCTCAGTTAAAATGAAGATCCCTCTAGCAAATAGAAATGAAATATTACCAGCCACCCATCTCATTGTGAATAAGTCCAGCAAAACATCTGAAGGTACAAATGCCAAGCCCAGCAGGTCTTGCTGCAAGCTCCCAAAATTATGCCAACATGTGCTTACTAAAAAAGAAAAAGAAAAATAGTTCTGAAAAATCTCAATGATGGATATTTGGTAGCTATTTTGATTTAAAAGAATAAATGAGATTGGGAGGTAGATATGAGCCCTCCTTTAATTCAAAAAATAAAATTCCCCTGAACACATCTTCCAAAAATGATCATGTATCAAGAGTGACAAGCTATTGATAATTATTAACACCGCAGATTCTCTTCACTTTTGTATATGTTTTTAAATCTTCGCGCACAAAAAAAAAAAAAGGAATAATCATTTATAAAGACTATGTTTCCACTGAATTAATTTCGCTGAATTAAAATGAATAATTAAAGAACAAACAATTCCACCTCTCAAAGGCTTTCTCCACTCCACCCCATACAAAAGCACAGATCCTTGGAAATACCCAGTTGCTTTTACTTGTGGGAGAATTTTACTTTTCATTTCAAAGTCTTGATGGCAGGTGGACGCTGCCTGAACCTTTATCCCTACTCAGCTGGGGTTCTCGCCTTTTTCTCCAAGTCTTTCACAGACTTTGCCATTGCCATCCCTTAGATCTTCACTTTTAGCCACTTGTTACTAACGCTGTTCTGCACAGGTTCTCAGCCTCCAGCCTTGTCCACTGGCTACTCTCTTAAGATGTTAGAAATCTTTCTTCTGCCTCACAGATTTCCCGATTCTTCTCAACTGCCTCACTCCCCTGCTGAAGGATGCTCCTTTTTTTCTCCCTTCTCATCCTGTGTTCATCCTGTGTAATTAATGCTCTCCACTGGCTCGATCTCTGTCACATGATGCCTGGCATTAGTTAACCCTGTGGAGGCTTTGCCTTGTTAGAAGCAAAAAGAAAAGGACTGCAACTCTGATGTCTCATGTTGAGAGAAAGTTTATGCTAATTTCTAAAAGACATGACTCACAGCCAAACCACATCAAAGCAGATTCCTAAATTGGCACTCATTACTCCTTGGGGCATCTAAGGCAAACAGATTCACAAAATTCACACTCGGCAACAACAACAAAAAAAGGCATTAGAGGGGAAACTGTTATTTCTGTATTTTATTTGGCGTCTTCCACAAAGAATGACTGATTTAGGCTGAACGTGGAAGTCAAATTGAAAAATGAAGACCAAACACAAAATCTCACCGCGTGATCAAGCAGGTTGGCTAGCCCTCAGTGAGCAGGTGTCGTCGCAGAAGCCCGGTCCAAAGAGCCAGGGTCAAGCCTGGCCTGCCTAAAATTACTGTGATCTTAACACTTGGTGTTCACCTCAGTGGGTTAGAGAGCAAGGGGAGCTGCAAATTCGATGAAAGAAGCCAATTCTATACTCTGCGACCACCTCCAAAGCAGCTGGCAGGATAGACTTCCCATAGATACTCTGTAAGAGAGGGTCGAGATGCCAAATCTCTCTTAAAGAGAGGAAATAAAATCAATCCTCCCGGTGCTTACTATCTCTATAAATTCTTTTTAAAATCTCTCACTTAACATTGTATCTGTGAAAGTCATGTTGCATACATAGTAGCTCATTTTAAATTGCTATGTACTATTGCAATTGTGGGAATATGCTACCATTTATTATCCATTCTATGGCTGTCCACTTGGCTGTTATGAATAAAACTATTCTCGATGGCATATTCTTGCATATACTCACTCATACCCATTCCTGCGGGCCATGTGCCTAGGAGGGGGTCTGACCAAGGTCACGTGAGTTTGGGCAAGTTCAGCTGTGGTAGACATTGCTTTGGGCAGCCTAACAATATGGCAGATCTTTTCAACAATTATCCTTCACCACTTGCCTGGCAGGGGAGATGCCATGATCATGAAGGTGGTTTTCCCGGGGCGAGGCTTATCCCTTGCACTCCAGATGTGTTGCCCCTGTAATTTCCCCAAATGTGGGAAACTCAACTGCATAATTTGCGGTAGTGGGGGACTGCGTTCGCGCTCTCCTGGGGGGGGGGGGGACAATTATCCTGCATAATTCCTCCTCTCCTGGATCTGCACACCTTCACTTGCCCTTATTCCTCGTCCTCCCAAGATTCCTACCTCAGTTTCCACCTTCCCTCTCTACTGTGTCTTCTAGTGGCCTCACTTATTCTTGCACACTTCACTGGCCTTAGTATTTCTTTAGCCACATCCTGGCTTCACTTCAAAGCAGCAGTCATGTTCTTCCATCTTCTAGCTCAACATTAAACCTGGATGTTCTTCAGGTGGTCGAAACATGTTGGATGAAACTCCTCTTTCTCTCCTCCCACCCTCATCGCTTCTCTGTCCTGACTTCATCGCCCTTCTCCTGGTCACCTGGGCTGTAATCTTGGTAGCCCAGCCCCTAGGAGGAATTTAAATCCAACCAGTGGGATGGTTACAATGGGCCACAAAGGGGCATGGAGTTCCCCTACAAAAGAGTTCCAACTATTTGTTCATCTGAAATGCCTACCGAACTAAGACATAGCTGGAAATTATTATCTTTTTTTTTTTGGTATGTGCCCCTAGCGAGAACCAAACCCAGGACTCTCTGGTCCACAGGCCAATGCTCCAACCGCTGAGCCAAACTGGCCAGGGCTGGAAATTATTTTTATATTTCCTATCTCCCACACCATTAAGATACGTCACCAAACGGATCATGATTCGGGACCTAACCCATTGTTTTCAAATTGTAAAAGAAGCACTTTCTCTACTAAGAAGAGATGTTGTAAGGGAAAAAGGCTGTTTCCATAACACTTAAAATCATAGTGCTGGATCAAATTGACCTAGGGTTCAAGACCTTCTCCCACCACCTTCTACCTGCGTGACTTTGGGTAATGTACTTCCAACTCTGAGCCTCAGTTGCCACGTCTATAAAATAAGGATAAACCTTGCTGCCTTACCCATTTGTTATGAAAGTTAAATGAGATCAAGGGACTTAGTATAGCATCTGACACATTCATACTCATTAAGTGTGGTTGGTCCAGCTGCTGCCGCCGATTCTCTGAGTGGGAAAACTAGATAAATTGAAACTCGTTCAGTGTCCCAAAGAGGTTGCCACTGGACAAGCAGCAATTTCAAAGTTCTAATTTCTTTTACTTTGCTCTCTGAATAGCTCAGAAGGGATGGATAGGCTGTGAAAAATGTTCTCAGGCTGGTCAATTTGAGGTATTTCATTTCACAAAACTGTCTGGAAACTGCCAGCTCATTTCATTGATCAATGGCCATCCCAGTGTTGGAGTCTAAGTTATTACCATCCGAAACCAAAGCTGAATGAGATCCTTACGAGCCAGAAGCTGCGAAGGCACTCAGGTCCGTCAGACACCGCCATGCCCCACGATCAGGCATCAGCCGTCACAAGAGCAATTTGCATGGTACCCAGACTGCTTTCTCTCACGCCGGCATTTTCTCCACTGGCTTCTGGATAGCGTTTTGCAGCGGCCTCAGACGGCACCTTCCGCAAAGCTCTCAGCACCTGCATCTGAAGCTATCTATCCTGTCTCACCTTCGATACATCCTGCCTCTTAGCGTATAAGCAGATCCAAGCAGACACTGTGTCAATCCGCTCACCAGTCAAACATACATCAAGTGCCTGCCACATCCATGACCAGGAACCTCACCACAGGAAAATATAAAGAAAACACATTCTTTGATCTCAAAGCTTAAGTGACTAACAATACAGGCTAGTGTGTGATAACGGGGTGCCTCAGAGAGTTAAGGGTCAAGATATTAATAGGAAGGAAAAGTCACTTCTGGGTTCATGGATCCCAAAAACAATGGTAACCAATCCTCAGCCCACCCCACCCCTGCACAAAGTGGGTGCTCAATAAAAACTGATGAACAAATGCCATCACGTGTTTTGGGGTGGGGATTTTTTGCAGGATGCAGAGAGTGTATTTGAAGCCCAGTGCAGACCGGCCAAACTGCCTTCTACAATGTGAACAGACGAAAGCCTGAGGAAAAAGCAGAGTTGTTATAAAAGCACTTTAATTCGGTCCTCTTGGCATTACAAGGCATCGGGCAGACAGACAAATGTACCATGACCCACATTACAATCCCGAGTCTGAGATTGCTGGTATCAACATATACACCTGCGTCACCATAAACAAAACTCTGCTTGCTGCCCCTCGTGTCTTACAACAGGTACACAAAATTATAAATATGTATACCCTTGTCCCACCTTGACATGGCAACTCAGGGATGTGGGCCTGAGGGAGGACCCGGCCATCACACTGCCTTGTATTTTTATCATATTCTTCAGTTGCTTTTTTTTTCCCCCCCAGAAAATCTCCTCCTCCTTGTAAGCAGAAGTTTAGATATTGGTTCCTCACAAACTAAAGTGATTTATCATATAACACAGCGGAAATAGTTGGATAAGTTTGGGGGGTTCATAGGATTCCCAACCTTATTATCTATGAGCCATAAACCCTCAAGTTATTTAACCTGAGTTTCTGTGCCTTCATCCGAAAAACAAGAGTAAGACATTTCTTTTGCAAGATCAGTGCCCAGATTCAAAATAGAGTAAGTAAAGCACACGATGCTAAATAACTTGTATCCATTCCATTACTCTGTTGAACACAGCAGTCCAGCATCTCCTCTCCAGCACCTCCCATGGTGGGTGGAGCTCCCAGCTAAGCCCTACAGGACTCTGAGCCGGACACACCCGCAGTAATGAACAAAGCTCAAAATTCTCTCTCTCGTTGGGTCTTCCTAAAAGGAAAAATATAAAACACGATTGTAGGCATTAAGAAACTGGAAGAAACTCAACAAACTACAACTTTCTCTGGGTGCTGCATAAATCCCTGTTCTCTTAGGAACTTCCCAAAGTTCACACCTATGCTGGGCCTTGAGTTATACTCAGACACCTCTGACCTCGGGTTATCCTGTGGCCTCTTTGTATGTTGATTCTATGTAGAACAGATATTATTTTTCAGAGATTATATTTTCCTGTTGACTATTGTTTACCAAGACTGATGGCACAGAAATCAATAGGACCCCTCGGGAGGACGGGAAGAGTCCAATTACTTCCATTCATTTGCATCAAGTCATCCTCACCCCAAGATTTGTCATATCTACAATTTTCTCAATTCCAACAGTTCTGCGAGGCTTGAGGTGACGAGATAGGCAGAGTAAGCGTGTTACGCTGCCGGTCCCACCGGCCAAAGCTGTGGCAGCACACACTCAGTAAATAAGTCTTTCCTTGCCCTGGCCAGTTTGGCTCAGCGGTTACAACGTCCGCCCGCAGACCAGAGAGTCCTGGGTTCGGTTCTTGCTAAGGGCATGAACCTCTGTTGTAGTCTGTCCCCGGCCTCAGTTGGGGTCGTGTGGGTGGCAACCAGTCGATGTGTCTCTCTCTCACATCGATGTTTCTCTCTCTCTCTTCCTCCCTCTCTCCCTCCTGCTCTATCTGAAGATGAATGCAAAAATGCCTTCGGGTGAGGATAAAAAATAAATAGATAAGTGTTTCCTTCCCACTTGTGCTTTGGACCTGTTCTCTGGGTTGCTGTTTCGGAGCCAGACATATACCAGGTCCAGGGAACTCGGACCAAGTTCTGGGAGGCCCAGGGAAAGCAAGGCCCTGCATGGCCAAGGTTCTGATGCACCATCAAGGAAAGGGAAGGAAATAGCACTTTCCTCTGATTCATGCAAAAATGATTTACTCTCAACCCTCCTAACCATTCCGGGTCTGAAAACGTGGTACAACTGGCCCCAGAGCCGCCCTGCTGCCCCGGCCTCCCCAGCAGTCCCGAGCGGAGCTGACATGGAATCAGATCAAAAGCAAACCTGAGGTAGTGCCACTCGCCCTAACTGTTGACAGATGGAGAGCGGAAGCACGTGAACGCTCTCTCCTGTGTCCACTGGAAGACGGACTGACCGCGGAGGAGGGAGGAGCGGCTCCGGCAGCCGAGGGGAGCCTGCCCGGCTCCACGCACACGTCCTTCAAGGCTTTATCAAAATGATTTTAGTGCCGTGGATTACTTTTTCCCCCCTCTGCAAAAATTACTGCTTATCAGCGTCACAGAAATCAAGCTACACACTCCCCACCTTTTCTCTGTCCTCATACAATCCCTCCCTCTGGCCAGGAACTTAATAAAATGGAACATTTCATTATTCCGGTTTGCCTACCGCTTTTGAAGCTGAAACTGACACGTCCAGCGAGCACTCTGAAGGGCCGGCGGCGGGGTGATTCGATGCCTCTGGTGTTTGCTCAGACACATCGAAATGCCTGCGGAGCCACGCTGTGGCCCGGCCTCTCCCGCACGGGCTTTGGGAGTTGCAGTGTGAAGGAATCCTTCAAAAGCAGTACTTTCCGGTTCCTTCAAAGTACAGTTTAGACATGGCTTTTTCATGAGCTATTAACTGCCTGTCAGATGCTGTAAGAGGGGAAAACAAAACCAGGTGTATTGAAAATTCATATATTCACAAAGAGCTCAGTCCTCTTTGTCTCTTAAGGCCCATGATTCCCATCAGTCGGCCTGGGCAATAGGAATATCAGACTGAGGTTACTGTCTCCCACAGTGAAGGCTTCCAAGTAAACCTTCTACTCTACTCAGAAAATAGAGCATCTGTGGACAAACACCCCCAGTTGCAATCTTCAGTTAATATCCTATGTGGAGCCCGGCCAGTGTGGCTCCGTGGTTGAGCGTGGGCCATGCACCAAGAGGTCTCCAGTTCAATTCCTGGTCAGGGCACAGGCCCAGGTTGTGGGCCAAATCCCCAGTGGGAGGCATGCAGGAGGCAGCCAGTCCATGTTCTCTCTCATGGGTGTTTCTATCTCTCTCTCCCTCTCCCTTCCTCTCTCTCTAAAGATAAATTATAAAAAATAAAAATATCCTATGTGGAGTGTGAAGTCTTGGTAAATATGCAGACTCTCAGGCCCCACCCTAGACGCACTGAATCAGAATTTGCTTTTGTCCCAGATGTCCCCCTTGTCATTCATAAGCATAACAAAGTTAGAGAAGCACTGGTTTCTACCACGGAAGTAATATA